CTGCTCCTTTAACACTGGCTCAATGGTTTTATGTTGTAGGAAAGTCTTCTATAATGACAGGAGGGGGTAATGAGGACGCTGCTGAGGAACAGGTGTTGTCTTCAGCCAATCTTCTCACTGAGCACCACACTGCAGGGGGGCCGCCCCCCCCACAGTGTGCTCAGACACCCACAGGCCATCTATGATGATGTGCCTGCTGAACATATACAGCACCCAGTGGGAGGTGAGTGTTGTTTTCACATCATTGACCACCACGCTTTATTCTACACTGTGGGCTGCACAGATTTATTTGACAGACTCAAACAGAATAGGCTACATGAGCAGCACATGTTTTTCATCTGTGGTTTTCTATGTGTAGATGTTGATGACATCTACGAGGACATCCAGAGAACGGATCAGTGCGGCTCCAGTGGCTGGAGCTCCAGTGAATTTGAGAGTTATGATGAGCTTTCAGACAGTGAGGCTGCTCCGGCACACAGCAGCAAGGTGCCTCCCTCATACACTTTATTTTACTGTCAATAAGATTAGCAAGTCCTCGTTATAGTTCTCTGGTCTCTGGTATGACATTCCTAGTCCACAGAAAGAATGCTTCTTTTCACTCATATTTCCATTTAGTACAGTTGCACTTGTGTAATTGTTCCCTGAAAGTTACCATTTACATCATATGTTAGTTGTGTATTATATAATTCATACAATGTATTATAGAGAACACTAAAACATGATGGCAAAATAACAGTTCAAAACGTATTTACGTGCAATACTTTTCTTGGACACTTGGGGTCAGCAGAACATGCTGACAACACATCAATGACATATCATCCCATTCTGTGTTAATAGTATGGCGGATTATGACCCGATTTGAGAAGGATGGGGACACGCCAGATAAAAGCACCAGATTGTTTCCATGTGTTCTACATCTCCATAGCTTTACATTTTTGGGGGGGAGCCACTTCATCAAGATGGCGGATGGTGGCCATCTTGGATTTCCAAGATGAGCCGCCATGCAAAAGCTATAAGTGCCAATATCTCGGCTTCCAAGCCACTTATGGCGCGTTTCCACTGCAGGCCTCGCTCGGCCTCACTCGGTTTGGTTAGGCCTTATTAGGCCTGGCTCACTTTAATGCTGCGCTTCCATTACAGTTTAGGAACTGGGGTAGTTACTATAGTAAGCAGTGTAGGCGGAGCCGTGACGTCATCTTCAATGAGAGCCCCAGAAAAACAACACCGCCGTTAGCTCTTAGCACTCAGCGCTCACAGCTCTTCATATCTGTTCAGAAACTAGACAAAAGTTAAACAAGTACAAACCACAGACTGCCTGTGTCATGGCGAATACAGTCGCTGGTTTATTTATGTCTGTATAGGCCGTTGTTGTGAGTGTGGACGGTTGGAGCATATATAACGTTAGCTTAGCCAAGCTCCATTTAGAAAACACGTCTGTCTGCAGACTTGTCAAAGCATTAATTCATGGTTTTTACTAACCGGTATCAGTATGTTGTTACTTCGGCATCATTTTGAAACGTGTATTACAATTAAATCACGGTCAAATATGTTCATCTTGTTGTAGTTGTAGCCCCCTTGCCAGCGATTCTCTCTCTAGTTTAGCATACTCAGCCCGACTCAGCCTGGTTGTTCCTGGCCCTAGAACCACGATTTAGTCGGGCCAGAAAAAAGGTGAAAAATTAGCCCCGGGCCAAAACTAGGCCAAGTGGAAACGCAACCAAAAACGGGCCCCGCACGGCTCGGCACGCTTAAAGCGAGCTACCCGCTGCAGTGGAAATGCGACATTAGAAGGTCAATCTTGGTGTCAAAGTATACATCTTCTAGGTCAAGCAATGCATTAAAGCTATTGAGAATATCACTAGATGATTATTTGTACCGAGATCAAATAAATATGGTAATACTGGCAATGTATTCACATAATGTTTTACTTGGTTCCTAAGCGGCTTGACTACAGGTCATATGTACATTAATATAAGTCATATACATGTACATTGATAAATGGACAATATGCACGAATTTAACTTTATTTGCTTCCTTTTTTAACATAAAGCATTTTTACATCCAGGCTATAATTACATTATTTGTCACATTTACAACTTCAAAGCTCTGTGCATTTCCAGTGTGCCTTCTTGCATGAGCACCTTGCACCACAGACACTTGCACTTTTACAACCACACTTGACCAGTTCAGTGCCGATGAGGATAACGACAACATCCGTATCCACAGTGCGTACCAAGTAGAAGAGCCATGCTCCAGGGCATCAAGCAGATGAATCATAATCCTGGTGTCAGCCTCTTCATGGTTACATGGCAGCATGAAGTGGCTGGTGTCTGTGCCAACTTGTTACGCTCTCCGAACGCTTACAGGAGTGAACCCACAATACTGAACACTTACGAGAGGAGACTGAAGTTATGTAGCAAAAGGGTTTAGTATCCAAAAACAGGCAGGGACAGAACTGAAGAGGGAATAGTGAATCCAAAAAAGGCCAGGGCCAGGGAATGTTTCCAGAGCTGGAGCGGAGGTCAGAAGCCAGGGATCTTGGGTGACGAGAGAGAGAGAGCAGACTGGACCAGGAGAGCGGTGAAGCATGGAGGAACACAGCTGGAGGGAAGGTAGCTGGACGCGGCAGGCAGAGGAGCAGGTAGATGGACTGGACAGAGAGAGTACAAGGTAAGGAAAACAAGAACACTAGAGATAAAGGTTTAGCAATAAGCTAAGAGACCAAGACGTATTACCACTGTGGTTAGACGACGAACTGGTGAATACTGGATGAGGGAAGCGGGTATATATGCAGGTGTAGGTGAGTAGTAGTAATCAGGGTGACGAGCAGCAGCTGAGGAGGTGAGTTGGCGGGAATCCAGAAGTGGGTCAGCCACGCCCAGCCAGGAAGACAGACACACAGACAGACAAAAACAAACACAGAAGGGAAAAATAAGGAGGCAGAACTGTGGATCCTCACACAACTACCCTGGCCGGCCAGGCAGTGGATGAAATTGTACTGGAGAGGAAGGTGAAGAGTTCCTGCTTTTCCTGGGATCACGCAAGAAATCTGGCCAGTTCCTTGGCAGCTTGTTCTGACCAGCAACATTTCATGCTTAAAGAAGGTGCTCATATCCCCCTCTCTGTGTTGCATGGCTATACATAATTGGGAAAAGAGTGTCACATCATCCCTCAACATTGAGATCTGCCCTGCCTGCTTGGTCTTTGTCCTGGGTGTTGGCCATCTAAAGAGAGGCAGTGAATTCTTTTTGATGGGCTCATGAATGGAGTGTGCGGTCCCTGATCACTCTCTTATGGTACTTGTTGTACTGATCTCTGCCCACTGATTCCACTGTGTTAACAAGAGACTCATCAATGATATTCCGTGTGTCGGGGTATCATCTAGGAACGGATTGCTCATCCCACTGATGGTGTGCACCTTTGAATGTCTTCTGTGTAGACATTCCTTCTTCGGTGGTGTTGTTTATTGCCTTTTTCTAAAATATACTCCTGCTCAAACTCTTTTAGGGGTCGTGCTTGTTCAGGCCCTGCGATCATCCACTTTTTGAAGGCTGAGGGATTCTCGGTGAGCAGCCCCAGAACCCTTCACCAGATCATTATTCTGCTCATGAGCCTGGTCTATCGGTATGCTTGAGAATCTGTTTCTGGGTTTGGGAACAACCCAATGACCGTGTTCTTCAAATTCCTTGTGAATGGACGTGGGAAAGCTTTTCATGTCCCGGATGTGGACAGGAATCCATTGTGCATAGTTCTGGTGATCAAGGGTGAATAACCATGGGACGAGGGCCTTCAGTGACTCCACATAGAGGGGGAAATCTTGTTCTCTGTGGGCCTGCACAAATATCAGACCCAGATTTTCCATGTTGAGGATGGTCAGAATCAGAACCAGAATACCTTTATTAGTCCCACAGAGGGGACATTTACGTAGATAGAGCAGAAAAAAAGCCATTCCAATGCCAGGCAAGATTAATAGTACCCGCCCACTAATCAGCTATGTGAGTTGTGTCAGTGGCAGTGGGTAGAGATGAAAAGGGAGTCGGAATTTAGAAAATATATTTGTTCAATCTCAGTAATTTATTCATTGAAATTGGGTCCTAATGAAGGGGTCTACAATAAGTCAAATTGAATTGATATCAGTGTTTCCGCCAGACCTGGGCTGAGAGGGCGTCCACCCCGAGAGCGGGGGGGGGGGGTGTTTTGAATTTTGACTTGAGCCGTCCCTTATAGATACTGTCTTTTACATTAGTGGGACGGATCATTTGACTCGGCTCTCTTAAAGCGCCGGCTGTTTCGGCTCCCAAACGGCTCTTCATGTTACCACAGTTTACCACGGAGCCTCAGTTTCGCCGCTGCGAGGCTCCGGCGCTCGCAGCTCACGCGCGTGCTCCACTAAAACCCCCCCGCTCATCGCGTCCAAATCGCGCACGTTCCGTGTTGTCCTGTAGCAGGCACCTTCGATGTCGGGGAAACTATCTTCAATACTCCGAAAAGAATCCCACCAGACTCCTTTGCCCCTCCAACAGAGGGATGTCCTTGTCCTTTTTCCCTTTCGTAATTTCAAGCGATAAAAACGCTCGATCTTCTCTCGAATTATTAATATTTTTGGACGCCCTCGGCTCGCGTTCAGGGCGTCCCGAGCTGAATAAGGGCGTCAAATGACGGCAAGACGCCCCCCTGGCGGAAACGCTGATTGATATATTGCCCGAATGGACCAAATAATTAAATATTGGCAAACAATAGTCACATTATGATATTCTCAATAGCTTTAATGCATTCTCTGACCCAGAAAATGTATATTTTGACACCAAGATTGACCTTCTAAGTGGCTTGGAAGCCGAGATATTGGCACTTATAGCTTTTGCATGGCGGGTCAGCTTGGAAATCCAACATGGCTGCCATCCGCCATCTTGATGAAGTGGCTCCCCCCCCAAATTTAAAGCTATGGTGATGTAGAACACATGGAAGAAATATGGTGCTTTTATCTGGCGTGTCCCCCCATAATTTTGCTAAACTGCCGCACTATAACATGACTGTGGTTAGTTACGGGGTGTGTGTGTTTGTGTCCACCTAACTAGTGTGAGAGCATTAGTCTCTCACCGTTAGCTCTAGTTTTGGTCTCCATATGTGTCTGTTTTGTTGTTTAATGTTCCACAATGTCTATGTACTCCTATGTTTCCCCCCTGACAACATGGTCCCAAACATTTTATAAGCAATAACACAGACGATCAAGACGTTAAAGATCAGTTGGGCACAGTTTAGCCCAGTCTTCTTTCAAATCAATGAACAGTGTAAACGAAACCTGAAAAGGGGAAGCAAATTATTTGTGTCAGTCCCTGGCCTCGCTCTGTCAGCACATGTGTGTTCTGCTTCTGTTAGTATGTGTGACTGCTCGGGTGGACTTTCCCCTCTCAGCTCATGTGTTGCTGTTTGAGAAGGACACAGTGCAACTCCAGAAAGCAGCAGAGTGTGTAGATGTTATCACATTCACAATAAGAAGTTGATCATCTGGCTTTAAACTCAGAGGATGTCTCTCTGTCTTGGATAAGACATCAGACTTTTGAAGGAGAAAACATGTTCTAAATGCAAGAGATTCATTGATACACAGTGTGAGGTATGTGTCCTGTTTTCTACGGCTTTAATCAAATATTACCAAGCATTGGACTGTCACCTGCCTGACAGTTGACAATATAGTGAGTGATGATCAGTTTCTTAATCTTGTTGACTTTTTTTTTTTTTTGACCGGATTTTAAATCTTACTTTCAAACGTTTATACTACATAGGAAGAGTCGTGAACTTTTGAACAGGCTATATCAGTTCCTAAAACACCTTTCAATTTTATAACTTATGTAAATTAAACAGTGTGTGGATATAATTGAATATGAGTTAGAACATCCAGTATGTTAGAGTTGCTGCTTCTTGAAACACAATAAACCTGTGTCGATGTTAGTCAGGTATGATGTCATATTTAGAGGGCTCACCTCAGATGTTAGTGTCAGCAGTAGCATTTTCTGCACATGTCAATAGCAGTTTCAACTATCTTTTTTTGGAAATTAAAATACTATATAAATATATACATAGGTACACATGTACTTGGCAAATGAATAATAATAATATATGCATAATTGCATATAAACATTGTGAACACTTATTTTCAAGTGACTTTTTTTACAATATGTTCACGCTGTGGTTTGGAACTGCTTTTGAATGTTATTAGGCATTTTGTTATGGAAACTGTTGTGCATAATCAGTACTGTTTTAAGCTGTACTATCTCAACACATTCACCGTAATACTTTTTTTTGGGATGTTATTACTTTTTGTAGATTTGTTGAGTACGTGTTTCCCCATATTTCGGAGCAGTAGTAAAGGTAAGGGAGAAATAGACTGTTATAAAGAGTATCTTTCTTCAAGAATGTTCTTAGTATGATACAAAATACCTATTGTTTTTGACAGTTTAGTCTGTACATAATTTATATGGTGCTTCCAATTGAGTTTTTCGTCAACAAGCAGTCCTAAAAATGTACATGCACCAACTTTTTCTATCTCTGTATTGAAAATCCATATAATGCAGTCATTTCTACTCTCAGACTTTGTATTGAATAACATGTCATTTGTTTTGGCCACATTAAGGGATAATTTATTAACTGGAAACCAGTTACATAGTATTTTTAATTCTGCATTCACAATTTTAACAAGATCGCCAAGATTATGATGGGAGCAGAGAATTCAAAGTTCAGGTTCAGCCTCAATATACACTGAACAAAAATATAAACGCAACACTTTTGCTCCCATTTTTCATGAGATTAACTCAAAGATCTAAAACATTTTCTACATACACAAAATAACCATTTCTCTCAAATATTGTTCACAAATCTGAAAAAATCTGTGATAGTGAGCACTTCTCCTTTGCCGAGATAATCCATCCCACCTCACAGGTGTGGCATATCAAGATGCTGATTAGACAGCATGATTATTGCACAGGTGTGCCTTAGGCTGGCCACAATAAAAGGCCACTCTAAAATGTTCAGTTTTATCACACAGCACAATGCCACAGATGTCGCAAGTTTTGAGGGAGCGTGCAATTGGCATGCTGACAGCAGGAATGTCCACCAGAGCTGTTGCCCGTGAATTGAATGTTCATTTCTCTACCATAAGCCGTCTCCAAAGGCGTTTCAGAGAATTTGGCAGTACAACCAACCGGCCTCACAACCGCAGACCACGTGTAACCACACCAGCCCAGGACCTCCACATCCAGCATGTTCACCTCCAAGATCGTCTGAGACCAGCCACTCGAATTTCTGCACAAACTTTCAGAAACCGTCTCATAGGGGTCTCGACCTGACTCCGGTTCGGCGTCGTAACCGACTTGAGTGGGTAAATGCTCACATTCGATGGCGTGTGGCACGTTGGAGAGGTGTTCTCTTCACGGATGAATCCCGGTTTTCACTGTTCAGGGCAGATGGCAGACAGCGTGTGTGGCGTCGTGTGGGTGAGCGGTTTTCTGATGTCAATGTTGTGAATCGAGTGGCCCATGGTGGTGGTGGGGTTATGGTATGGGCAGGCGTATGTTATGGACGACGAACACAGGTGCATTTTATTGATGGCATTGTGAATGCACAGAGATACTGTGACGAGATCCTGAGGCCCATTGTTGTGCCATTCATCCACGACCATCACCTCATGTTGCAGCATGATAATGCACGGCCCCATGTAGCAAGGATCTGTACACAATTCCTGGAGGCTGAAAACATCCCAGTTCTTGCATGGCCAGCATACTCACCGGACATGTCACCCATTGAGCATGTTTGGGATGCTCTGGATCGGCGTATACGACAGCGTGTTCCGGTTCCTGCCAATATCCAGCAACTTCGCACAGCCATTGAAGAGGAGTGGACCAACATTCCACCGGCCACAATCAACAACCTGATCAACTCTATGCGAAGGAGATTTGTTGCACTGCGTGAGGCAAATGGTGGTCATACTGACCCCGCCAGACCCCCCCAATAAAGCAAAACTGCACGTTTCAGAGTGGCCTTTTATTGTGGCCACCCTAAGGCACACCTGTGCAATATTCATGCTGTCTAATCAGCATCTTGATATGCCACACCTGTGAGGTGGGATGGATTATCCCGGCAAAGGAGAAGTGCTCACTATCACAGATTTTTTCAGATTTGTGAACAATATTTGAGATAAATGATTATTTTGTGTATAGAAAATGTTTTAGATCTTTGAGTTCATCTCATGAAAAATGGTAGCAAAAACAAAAGTGTTGCATTTATATTTTTGTTCAGTGTATTTGGGGAGAATTAAAATGAGCCGTCTTTATTTGTAGACAGCCAAGCCCCCTCCTGTGTTCGCAGTGGCGTTTTATATGTACAAAAGTGGTGGGGCACAAAAAACGTAGATGTCTATATATAAGCTTCTGCAGTGAGGTTCATGGCTGGTGAGGCACTGGCTCTGACTCTTCAGGTTTACAAATATTATATTTGGACCTAAATCAAAATATAATATTATTTTCAAAAGCTTTTTTTGTCTGATGCTTCGATTAATTTTAAACAGACAGTTCAACAAAAGGATACCCAAAAAATGTAATTTTATCATTTAAATATTGAATTGTTCTCTCTTAGTAAGATCCCATTTTCAATACAATTGCGGTCTTACCTTGACTTGAAGATTAAGTTAATTTGCCTATCCTTCTGGACAAAAATCTCTATTACTTTTTTGTAAAAGTTCTCCTTATCTTCTTGTAGTTTCAAAAGTCTATCATAAATCTAATCGATAGATTTATGATTAGAAAATTATAAAAGTAGGGTAGACATGTGGATATTATCCGGCTGAACAAAACGTGCATTTATCTAACAGGTTTGTTTCCCACAGATCTTATTTTGAGCTATTTTCTAAAATCCTATGGAGAAATCTCATTGCTTTTTTGTGGAGGGAAGCCATGCGCAGCTTACTTCCTGGTTTTAGGACGCGTCTCTCTCCTCCTCTTCACCTGCTCTTCACACACCACACTTTTCGCGGCACACGTACTTACAGCCAATCAGCTCTGAATTATGTGAGATGACGTATGGTGGGGATGGCAGCACTATGCCCCTATGGTCATTATTTTTTGCCACACACATTAAATAGGAAAATACTCTGAGCATGCGCAGTGTAGTTTTTACAGTCACCGTTCATTTAGACAGTGAGAGGGAGGGGCAGGATCGGGTTTTGTCCCACATGGCTCTAAACAGCTCAATAGGCACACACTGTAGACACTAATTAGAAGAACACAGACTAAAACAGCAATGTACAGACGAATCAGATGATTAAACATGATCTTAAAATATATTTTTTGCATTTTGTTGTAATCATTATTTTTATACTTTCTGCTGACACTAGGTGGGGCTGTGCCCCACCTGCCCCTAATGACCAGTCGCCACTGTTTGTTACATGTCTGTTTCAGATGTGTTCCATGTCTGTTTTTACATTGTGTTTCAGGTGCAGCAGCTGATGAAAGCAGCGAAAAATGGTACCATGGACGGGTTAGAGAAGACAAAGTTAGCCATGTTTCGTAAAGTGTCATTCCTGCAGAGAAAAGATTCCACAGGTGGGTCATTCTACAGAAAAGGTGGAAGTGCTGTCACTTACTTTTGCAGACACCAAAATACATGACGTTGACCTAATACTCACATTCATTATATATGTTGAATAAATAGAGATTGTCTTTGCAATGGTACTAAATAAAAAATAAATAAAAAATGGTTTTATACGTAAATTGCAATTTATTTAAAATGCCAAGTTCAAGGAACTGCTTTGTCACTTTGATCATACATGAAAGTGGAGCCTATAGTTTTAATTTAAAAGTTTTTTTTTCAATAAATACATCTAATTTATATTTACATAACATTACAAGCATTAAATATAACACTGAAATGGTAAAAAAAAACGCAAATTATTATTAATAATATCAAATAAATGTCAGTCACCCAAATGTACGTCATTGGTGTTATACTGCTACACAAAACGCTTTTATTTTTGAAGTAATGTACTGTCTCTGAAGTGCCTCCTGTAACAAGAGATCATTTGAGGCAGTGTAGTGGACAAAGACATAAGGAAAGTCAGATACTTCTTACTTTGTTTGTTAAAGGTGTAATTTTATCTTCAAATTTTATGCGTCTTTCAAGTCTGTCATTAATGTTACTCATTGCATAGCCCTAGGGGTGAACATTTGAATGGGAAAATGTATTTTATTGAAGAGTTAAACGATTTTGATATTGACTGAAGCCATATTTGGTCTGACACATTGCAGCCATTTTGTTAAAATGGTAGTGTTTTCTCCAAATTGTCACTGGTGTTACCGTCACTGGTGTTACTCTTCTTCCTGGTAACACGTAACACCAGTGACGTTCCTATACAAATAAGCTTTGTCTAAAGTATACCAATAATTTAAAAAAGTAAAAATACTTTAAGCTCTACTTGTTGTGGATTCATCAAGTTAAGAGTTAGTTATTGCTATTTAACAGGTTTTAGATGTTTTTAGAAGGAATATATTTCAGCAGATTTGTATCACCCAGATTCCACCTTTTCTGTAGAATGACCCAGGTACAGAAACTGGAACTGGGAGAAACACGTTCACCTCGTTCACGTTCACCTCACATGGGGGCAGTCACTTCACTATCAGGATCCTAGTGGCCTGAGGGTAGCACCAAGAAAACCAAATGTATCCATTTGATCTGGTGCATACATAACATCTCTGGAGTTAGACTTTGTAGGTGTGGATCATAATTACATGAATGGACACGCGAAATGGCAGTTATACATGTTTGTAACACGGGAACCAGAACAGATTCATGTGTTCTTTCCTCTGAGTGCATAAAGTAATTGTGTTTGAATTTGCAGGCGAGGGAAAGGATGATGCAGGTTACGTAGATGTGTCTGTGTGTGAGTTAAAGCACCCCCCACCAGAGCTGTCCCCCACACCAGAGGGACTCAGCAGTCAGCAGGTGTGTATGTAAACCAGTGTGTACTCGCACAAATGTAGGACAAAGACTATGATTACGTGGGACAATGTGGAACGTGTTACTAAGATGCTGAGAGGTACTTTAGACTTCAATATTATATCCATTTATCCCTAAAATGTAAACATTTATATTAAACATGTGTTTAAAGTCTTGCATGCAGTGTGTTGCTCTAGAATCTAGATCATATTCACCTCCATGTGCGATTGAAACAACTCTGATAAATGTCGCAAAAAACTCTGTGTGTGAATTGCCCTCCACTGGCTTCACACAGAGTAAATACTTTCCCGGGCTTTTTGTACCTGCAGCTCCTTTTCTTGGTCGCAGTTTCAGTTATATTCCGCCTAAGTGCATCTCGGTAGCTTGTGCTGTTTAGTGTGTGTGAATACAGCTTTTTCTCTATGCAGAGGCAGAGGGGTGTAAATCAATACAGTTTGGCCCGTCATTATACATTAGTGTGTAAAATACACAGCTCTCAGTCCATCAGAACAACCAACCCAGTCTCAAAAAAACGTGTAATAACTACGTTGGTCCACAACTTGGGACGTAGTATTTCTACAAAAACGCCTCTGAAATTGTGTGATCCCTACGTTTTTTTTCACCATTCATTTCCAATGGCTGGCGTATATGTCACGTGATCTTCAAATTTCTCCCTGCAGAAAAAAAAAAACATGGCCGACTTCTCGGTGTAAAATGCCTATTTTAAGGTTAGTTTGGCCATTAAAATGCGTTTTGATGTCATTTGATGCGAGAAATATGAGTTGTTATTTCAGAATATGTGTGCAGTGGATGTACATGATCTTTAGTTTGCTAGTTATTACGAAGATTACTTCAGGAAATTGTGTCTATACAACGTTTTCATTGTTACCAAGGTGGTTGCTAGGGACGCTGCTTTCGATATTATTTCTGTTATGTTGTGTAACTGTTTAATGGTGTTATCTTTATTGCTACCTCCTTCCCCGTCAATTTATAGTGTTGGCCCAAGGCGCAAACGTATTAGTTTAACAAAATACGCATCTAAAATTGTGGCATAGATACGTTATTTTCCCCTGTGCAATTCTCCATTTACTCAACAATAACACATAATTATCCTTGTGTTTATTTATTTGTTTGATTAATAAACACAAGTTGGAGTCCGTCAGGACCAAGGGTCGGAGCAGCTCATTTGCTTTAGAGAATATTACACCCGGAAGTATTCTCTCCGCTTCGCTTGACAAACCCCGTGATAGTCCTCAAGCTCTGTGATTGGAGAGTGTGCTCCGAGGGTTACGCCAAGCGTCGAACAGCACTTGAAATGGGATGGAACCACGGCAGACTGTCCAAAACTGGATTTGAACGGGTCCACCGCGTCCCTCCCTCCCCCACCCCGTCCCCAGAACTACACATGCTGGCTATTGTGTTTCGCAACATGTTCTCTATCTATGGCACGTCTCTACTGGGAGTTGTAGTTTTAAAAGACGTTTTCGTATTTCCCATAATAAGAAGTTGCCAGTATTAAACTGTGTACATCCCTGGAGGTTTAGGGGATAGGAAACACTCACATTTAAAACATATAATTAATAAATGGGTGAAAATTGCTTGTGCCCATAATGGGCAGCATTAATATATACCCACATGACAGCTAAGGTCTGAAGAGCTTTATTTAACAGCTGGTCTTATGTCTGTGACCCCTCCTGTTGTTAATTGATAAGCCTGAAACATGCACTTGTCAAGGTTCAGAGGCACATTTTGCAAATCATAAGATAAGATATACTTTATTGATCCCAAGTTGGAAACATTTGCGTTACATCAGCATGTGTAACAGTTGTAAATATGCAGTGGTGTTTATTTGTAAATCATTTAGTATAATCACACAAATTCTGTGTTTTATATTTAATAATTCTGTGTTCTTTATTTATTGATTGTTCAATACCTGACAAGGCCGGAGATGGAAAACTTTGGTCGCAGGTTCCTCAACAGTGCATTACAAGACATCTATCAATATGTTTGTGTACCACTGTCGTATTCTGCACATTTCTTATACTATCTACATACATCTTATATAAGAATATAATACATATATATAATATCAGTTAAAATAAGTGCTTCAACATAGGTAACATTGCTGGAGGTATGCACAAATATTGATAGAGGTCTTGTAATGCACTGTTGAGGAACCTGCGACCCAAGTTGTTCATTCATTGCATAACTACACCGTTTGTGAATATGATAAGTCAATAAACCTTTGAAAATCTTGAAATCTTGAAAGGGATGTGCAAACCCTAACCCTCTTTAAGGCACGACAGGCAAAAACATCGTTTTTCAAGTACTGGTCAATTTTGAGATTTTGTGCTATTTTGATTCCATAACATGTTTTCTTTCAGGCTTTTGGAACGAAAACGTACAAAATACACATTTAAGTGTTTATTTTACTATAGTTTGTCTATTTGCGTCTGTAGATTTCTCCTAAATTCACCAAAAGTTAGCATTCTAACGTAACATAAAGTACCGCGACCGCTGTGTGCACCATGTCAACAGAGGTATCGCTGGAAAGCTGTGTCTCTCCTGCACAATCTCATCGGATCCAAATATGGTAATTTCCTTTGTATCAGCAACCAATCGTGAAAGCACAAAGGGGTCTTAAACCAATAAACGAAATCTCATTGGCTGGTGTCAATTTCTGACAACGTGATTCGTTCAGATGCGTCACGTGGTGTGCTAAAACACTTCCTGGTTAGCTTTCAGCTAGAAATTGAAATCTCAAAATGCCAAAAGAACGGCGAAAAAAACGTTCACAGAGAAGACGACAACAATTGTCACTTGCACGAAGCAAGGTTATAAAAAAAAAAAATGACCCTGAACATGAAATACCTTCACGGAGTGCGTCGTTGCGCAAGCTATCATCCAAAGAACAGGAGGGTTTAGCTAGCGCCTCACTGCAATCTTTAAAGGTCGTTTTCTCAAATTGAGTTTTTTCTCCTACTCTGAGTTCGAAATTTCAATTTTAGTAGCACGTACATACACCAAACCTTCCAGTTATATTCCTATCAATATTATGAAGGCTTTTACAGAAGGGTTTGTTCATATATAATTCATAGCCTGAATTATACAACATTGTATACCTAAAAACATGGCGAAAATGGATATTTTAGGGCTGTTGACAGTATTTTCTGATTTATGGAGTGATAAAAAGATATATCCAATATCCCTTCTGTAAAAGCCTTAGATACTAATATGACTACAAAATGAAACAAGAATTTTGAATCTGGCTATATCCAAAGTTCAGATTTCGATTCCTGAAATGTGTTAAAATATGTGCATATTTAATGAGATAATGGATAATTTGCATGTTTAAACATGCTATTTCAGAAAACTTGTAATACAAAAGACAATTGCCTTATTGTAAGTAATTAACTGGAGAAATTTCTAGCTGATACCTTTAAGTTAAAAAAATTACCCTATTCACCTGGGGTGTCTCGCCTTAATTAACTATTAGTAGAGCATAAAGAGTAATGAATATACTTTAGGAATCCTATTAATATCTAATAATAAAAATAATAAAATTCAATAACATGCTTTAACCACTAGGCGTCCCTTTCTACCAGCTGTGCACCATTATGGTGTAAATACAGCCTATCTACCAATTGGATCAAATATAAAAGTCAGCCGAATTAGTGTTGATACTGCAAGGAGACGTATTGTGTGAAAAGAAATGTAAGATGTTGTTTAATTGCTGATATATTTATGATCCACGTCACGTTTTCAGTTCCTCATGTTTGTCTAGAAGTCTTCTCATCAGGGCTCTATAAATAAAGAACTACAGCAGATATGTAATATTTAATGCAGCCGAACCGTGTATTACAATGCCGTTATGTGATGACTTTCAAAGAGAAAAGCAAGCACACTCGGAATAAAGTATTATTTTATTATTAAAAAATGGTTTCGGTCTGTTTCCGGTATTTGTTTATAACGATGTGCTGTGAGATGTGAGACTGGGTTGGAGAATTGCACAGGGGAAAATAACGTATCTATGCCACAATTTTAGATAAGGATTTTGTTAAACTAATACGTTTGCGCTGTGGACCAACACTATACATTGACGGGGAAGGGGGTAGCAATAAAGATAACACCATTAAACAGTTACACAACATAACAGAAATATCGATATCGATAGCAGCGTCCCTAGCAACCACCTTGGTAACAATGAAAACGTTGAATGGACACAATTTCCTGAAGTAATCTTCGTAATAACTAGCAAACTGAAGATCATGTACATCCACTGCACACATAATCTGAAATGTGACCTGCTCTATCGAAATCAGTCGCATTGACCCGAAGACACATTTTGAGTTGTATACACTGTTGGAAAGAGGATATTCCTAGCTTTCTAATGATATCAGGATTGTTTTTGTACTCCAAATATTAAGCGAAATATATCCCATTATATAATGACTGTCACCGAGTCATCATTTAGAGAAAAAGGCCTTCAAAGTTTCCTCTTCTCTGGAATCCATCGATCTGATTGATTATTAGCGGAGCATCCATCCATCCATCTTCTTCCGCTTATCCGTGGTCGGGTCGCGGGGGTAGCAGTTCCAGCAGAGAGCCCCAAACTTTCTTTTCCCTGGCGACATCAACCAGCTCTGACTGGGGGATCCCAAGGCGCTCCCAGGCCAGCGAAGAGATATAATCCCTCCACCTGGTCCTAGGTCTACCCCTTGGTCTCTTCCCAGCTGGACGTGCCTGGAACACCTCCCTAGGGAGGCGCCCAGGTGGCATCCTAACTAGGTGCCCGAACCACCTCAACTGGCTCCTTTCGACGCGAAGGAGGAGCGGCTCAACTCCGAGTCCCTCCCTGATGACCGAACTTCTCACCTTATCCCTAAGGGAGACACCAGCCACCCTGCGGAGAAAACCCATCTCGGCCGCTTGTATCCGCGATCTCGTTCTTTCGGTCATGACCCATCCTTCATGACCATAGGTGAGGGTAGGAACGAAAATGGCCCGGTAGACAGAGAGCTTTGCCTTCTGGCTCAGCTCCCTTTTCGTCACAACGGTTATATTAGCGGAGCAAATGATCAAAATACTACGGAGGGAAGATATTTTCGTTTGGAGGGGAAGCTCGCAAGTGTGAGTGTATACGTGTGTGTGTGTGTGCGTGTGTGTGTGTGTGTGTGTGTGCGTGTGTGTGTGTGTGTGTGTTTGTGTAATTTTGCGTTTGTGTGTATTGTGTTTGTTTCCCGGGGAAAACACTCACGAGAAACACCGGCTGTTGTTATGCCTGCTGTGACGTTAAGTTACTCCGTTCTCCGCTTGTAATTATGCCGTCACAAGCTTCAACGTTGTATTTATCATCTGAATTTGCCGAAACAAGTTTAATATTCTGAAAGCCAAGACTTTGTTTAATTGAAATCAGATGAAAACAAACTGTAACGGACCCTGCCGTGTTATCTATGATTACTATACTCTTACATTCATAATTTCAGCCGGAGGGAGGGGGGGCGGCGCTGCGGAAGAGCAGATTGCGAGTGAGAGGTGCCTCTCTTCGTCCCTTTACAAGCTTCAAAAATGTATTTATCGTGTGATTTTGGAAATAAAAGTTTCATATTCTGAAAGCCAAGACTTTGTTTGTTTAAAATCAAACAAAACACCCGAACCCCGAATAAATAGTTTTTTACGTAATTCCACGTTTATGTTGAAATGAGCCGTTGCGACTTCCGACTGATTTCGAGCGGGACACAAATAACAACTCATATTTCTCGCATCAAATGACATCAAAACGCATTTTAATGGCCAAACTAACATTAAAATAGGCATTTTCCACAGAGAATAAAACGAATGTCGGCCATGTTTTTTTTTTCTGCAGGGAGACATTTGAAGATCACGTGACATAGACGCCAGCCATTGGAATGAATGGTGAAAAAAAACGTAGGGATCCTACAATTTCAGAGGCGTTTTTGTAGAAATACTACGTCCCAAGTTGTGGACACGTTACACGTTAACGTTACACGTTTTTTTGTGAGACTGGGTTGGAACAACAACACGTCATGTCATGCTCCAGCTTTCTCTTTGTCACTCTCATGCTGTTTTCATTCTCTAATTAATGGCTTCTTTATTTCTGTTTTCAACTGTCAGCAGAACTCAACACTTCCTGCAGATGTTTCAAAATAAAAGCCTTACTCCTTCCTTATAAATTAAATACTTTCTATAGAAAATTGTTCATTTCTAATATTAAGCTTAAAATAAAACAGAAGAAAGTTGAATGCATATGTGACTGAAAACAATTCAGTTTGTGTTGAAAAGTGAAAGTGAGAGCAGCAGAGTGATTCACGATGTGAGCCATTACAGGACATTTGACCAGGCCTTAATCAGTGACCCACTTTTATCACAACACTGCCATTTAATATCAGATTTGATTAGAACATTTACAGGATGTAATGTTATATAATGGTATAACTCAGAAATAGTACCTGCATTTCTCTCCTCCTCAGGTTGTCAGACGTCTCATCCTCAGCTCCATCGTCCAGAGTGAGTGCAGCTACCTGGACTCTCTGAAGAGAATTCTGCAGGTGAGTCTCATCTCTCACATGTAGCAGCCGGTCCGTGTGGAGAGCTTTGTGTCTTTGACAGACAGTAGGGATGGAATCGGGCTGCTATTTTTTTTAACTCACTCCAAAGGTGAGGTTCTTAAGCTCTTGTATGGAAAACCAAAAGAAAAACGGTAGTGATGATGGAGCTATACACAGTGGTTCCTTTTGATTCATGGTGATCATAATATTTTACCCACAAATTCTGACAATTGACATTTTTGGTCATTATTAATCTCTCAAGACATTAGAAACGTTTAAAAAAAGTCAATTTGCAAAGTACACAATTTGATCTCCAGAGATTCTTTGTATGCTAAAGGAAATGTAAGCACAGATCAACAGGATGTCCAACCGACCTTTCTCTGTGTATCAGGAGTACCAACAGCCTTTGTTGGAGCCACAGAACTTGGTCCTAAACCCCAAGAAGGTTCGTCAAATCTTTTACCGTCTGCAGGAGATCCATCAGTGCCACTCCATGTTCCAGATTGCCCTGGCATCCCGAGTGGCCGAGTGGGATCACAGCGAGAAGATCGGAGACCTGTTCGTGGCCTCGGTCAGTCCACGACCTTTCATCTACTCAGTCCTTTTCTGTCTGTCCTCCTGACCTACTATAGACAAAAGTATTGGGCCACCTACACATTACACCTACAGGAGCTTTTATGACATCCCATTCCTAATTCTTAGGCATTAATATGAAGTTGGTCCCCCCTTTGCAGCTATAACAGATTCCACTCTTCTGGGAAGGCTTTCTACAAGATGTTGGAGTGTGCCTGTGGGACGCCCATTCATCCAGAAGAGCATTTGTGAAGTCAGACACTGAGTTTGGACAGAGGGCCTGGCTCTCCATTGTAGTTCATCCCAAAGGTGTCCAATGGGGTTGAGGTCAGGGCTCTTTGCGGGCCAGTCAAGTTCTTCCACACCAAACTCATCCAACTAGGCCTTTATAGACCTTGCTTTGTGGGGCACAGTGATGCTGGAACAGAAAGGGCCTTCCCCAAACTGTTTCCACAAAGTTGGAAGCATAGAATTGTCCAAAATGACTTGTTCAGATGAAGCATTAAGAATCCACTTCACTGGAACAAAGGGGCCCAGGCCACCCCCAGAAAAGCAACCCATAGCATTATCCCTCCTCCACCAAACTGTACAGTTGGCACAATGCAGTCAGGCAGGTAACGTTCTCCTGGCATTCGCCAAACCCAGACTCGTCCATCAGACTGCCAGATAGAAGTGTGATTGGTCACTCCACAGAACACGTTTCCACTGCTCCAGATTCCAGTGGCTGAGTAGCCAATGGGGACGCACCTCTGAAAGTCCCGCCCACCTGGGACGTTTGTGTCAGAATCGGAAACAAAAAATGAGGGAGCGCAAACGAGAGAGCTGCAGCGAGAGCAAAAGTCTGATCATTGAGAAAGAAGCAACAAGAACTGCAAACAAAAACCTATGTTAAAATAAAGAAAAAATACTTAAAGTTTACATGATTACACAAATGATTTGTTTGCAACTCATAGTTTTATTTTTTTAATTAATTTTATTTTGCTTGACTCAGTTTTTTTTCTCTCTTAAACTCTTAGTTTTGCTTGATTCTGAGAAAGTGTTGCTTTATCTTTATGACACAAAACTAAACCCATACTTTACACCCCTCCACCTGGCGCTTGGCATTGTGCTTGGTGATGTAAGGCTTGATGCAGCTGCTCAGCCATGAAAACCCATGGAGCTTCCACAGTTTTGGTCTGATATTAATGCCACTTTTACGCAATATGCGCCTCAGCACTCCACGCCCCCCGCTCTGTAACTTTACATGGTCTGCCACTTCGTGGCTGAGTTGCTGTGGTTTCTAAACGTTTCCACTTTGCAATAATACCACTTACAGTACAGTTGATCGTGGAATATCTAGGAGAGAAGAAATGTCACCAACTGACATGGCTAGGTGCTTGATTCTATACATCTGTGGCAATGGGACTGAATGAAACACCTGAATTAAATGATTAAGAGGAGTGTCCCAATAATTTTGTCTATATAGTGTACATCAGCACATCACTCAGGTGTGTTTCAGTTCCACACCACCTGTTGGTCTCTGTAGTCACTAATCCTCTCTAGTCGTGTTTCCTCAGCATGGTACAGCCCCACCCGCCTCGCTGCATAGAATTACCTCCACCCCAGTGTAGAACGGGGACCAGCTGTTTGCCGTACGATGTGGCGGGAACTTCTGATTAAACATGAGACAAGTGGCGGCGCTAGGGGGTGGCTACTTGGGCTCAAGCACCGGATGCTTCACTTAAAACGTCTCGTGAGTAATGTGCAGTACCGGAGTCCAACAGAGAGGCAGCAGCTGCGGGACAGTAGCCTACGTACTGTGTAGCCTTCCCTGCCCTGAAGAAGAAGTGATCCTTCCTGATCAGTGCCTGACTAAAGTTAAAGCCAAAGTTATGGATATTAGAAAGTTATTTCCATCAAAGCAGGCACCACAAGCTGCTGCTGCAGCAGCAGCAGTATCAGCAGCTGAGAACAATGACATCACCAGCGGTGAAGAAATGGATGATGTTTCAGGTTTTTGTCCGCTTTAAGGTGGTGGTAGATTCTGATACGAAACTATGGTCACAAAAAGTTCCAAATGTGCCTTTTTGGCCAGAGGGAAGTCTCTCAGAACTTTCCGCTTTATTTAAACACTTGAAGAAAGAAGCGTCATCCAGCTGGGACTACACACAGTTCTCTCTCTGAAGCTTTCATCTGCACTTCCTCCATTCAAAGGCGAAGTTAAGGCATTAACATTCAGCCATTTGTTTTCAATCTGTGTTCAGTGAAAAAACTGGAATTGCAATTTATTGTTGCCGCGTTCCCTTTAATTAAATCAGATCCTGTAATAATTTGATTCAGTAATGCTGGGATTTGCATGCAGTAATGAGATCATGTGATTATGTGATCCTGTCTTGTATCTATCCTTAAGTAGTTAAATGGACAAAACATGTGTTGTTACTCTGTCTCCCACTGACTCAGTGTCAGCTTCCAGATTCTTTGTGGCTGCTCCATTCCATCAATCAATCAATCAATGTTTATTTATATAGCCCAATATCACAAATGTTACATTTGTCTCAGTGGACTTCACAGTTTGTACAGAGTATCAGTATGACAATACGACACCATCTGTCCTTGGACCCTCACATCGTAAAAGGAAAAACTTCCGAAGAAAACCCACAGTTTAAAGGGGCAAATGGGAGAAACCTCAGGGAGAGCAACAGAGGAGGGATCCCTCTCCCAGGACGGACAGACGTGCAATAGATGCCGTGTGTAAATTGAAAAGATAATACATTTGCAACATAGGTAGTCCAAATGTTTGGAAATGCATGTGTGTATAATAGGAAGATGAAACCACGAGGATATCCATCCAGGACCTATGATCCAGGATCACAGCCACGACTCAAGATCCAGGGCTCGCGATCCAGGACTCAGGACCACAGCAACAGGATCAGCCACGACTCAGGATCCCGGCGTATATAGACACCAAAAAGACATTTGGGGAAGTTGGGTTAATCGGAACATGAGAGTACACAGGTATAGACAGAGAGAAGGAAGAAGTAAGATGTCCCCCGACAAACTAAGCCTATATCAGCAAAACTAGGGGCTGAATCTAATCAGCCCTAACTATAAGCTTTATCAAACAGGAAGGTCTTAAGCGCACTCTTAAAAACGGATAGGATGTCTGCCGCCCGAACACAAACTGGAAGCTGATTCCACAAATGTGGAGCTTGATAAGAAAAGGCTCTGGCTCCCATTGTACTTTTAGAGACTCTAGGAACAACCAACAACCCTGCATTCTTGGAACGCAATGCCCTAGTAGGACAGTAGGGTATAATGAGTTCTTTAAGGTAAGATGGCGCCTGCCCATTAAGGGCTTTGTAGGCGAGAAGAAGAATTTTAAATTCTATCCTGTGTTCTATAGAGAGCCAGTGTAAGGCAGCCAGAACAGGAGTAATGTGGTCCATTTTCCTAACTCTGATTAGTACACAAGCTGCAGCATTTTTAATCAGCTGAAGCGACTTGACTGACTTCTTGGTACACCCTGATAATAAGGAGTTACAATAATCCAGCCTTGAAGTAACAAATGCTAGTTTCTCTGCATTGTTTTGAGGCAAGATATGCCTGATTTTTGCAATGTTACGTAGATGGAAGTGGGCGGTCCTTGAAATTGATTTTATGTGGGCGCTAAAGGATAAATCCTGATCAAATATAACACCAAGATTCCTTACAGTCTCACTGGAGGCCAAATTAATGCCATCCATAGTTAGTATATCTTTAGATAATTTGTTTCGTAGATTATTTGGGCCGAGTACAATAACTTCAGTTTTGGTTGTGTTTAACATCAAAAAGTTTAAGGTCATCCACGTTTTTAAGTCCTTGAGGCAGTCTTGAATTTTATTTAGATGATTAATTTCATCAGGCTTGATTGATAAATATAGTTGAGTATCATCCGCATAACAATGAAAGTTTACAGAATGATTCCTTATAATATTGCCTAGCGGAAGCATATATAATGTGAACAAAATAGGTCCAAGCAGTGAGCCCTGTGGCACTCCATGGCTAACTTTGGTTGCATGGAAGATTCATCGTTGACACACACAAACTGAGAGCGTTCCGATAGATAGGACCTAAACCAGCCTAAAGCAGTTCCCTTTATGCCAACTAAGTGCTCTAGTCTTTGCAATAAGATATCATGGTCGATAGTATCAAATGCAGCACTGAGATCGAGCAAGACAAGAATAGAGACAAGTCCCTTGTCTGAGGCTATTAGAATGTAATTTGTGACTTTAACCAGAGCTGTCTCTGTGCTATGATGTGTTCTAAAGCCAGACTGAAAATCTTCAAATAAATCATTGTTTTTTAAGTAATCACACAGCTGTTTTGCGACTGCTTTCTCAAGAATTTTTGAGAGGAACGGAAGATTAGAAATAGGTCTATAGTTGGCTAAAACCTCTGGATCGAGGTTGTGCTTTTTCACGAGCGGTTTTATCACTGCTACTTTGAATGATTGTGGAACATAGCCTGATAATAAAGACATATTCATAATATTTAATAAAGAAGTGTTCATTCATGGAAAAACTTCCTTCAACAGCTTAGTTGGAATCGGGTCTAAGATACACGTTGATGGTTTGGATTAGAAGAAAGAATCATTGAATTCAATTGTTCAAGGTTTATGGCTGAAAAGCATTCTAGTTTACTATCTAGTGTAATATTAGAACTTACGTTTCCGGGAGCTGTTGATAACACTATACTGGTCAAAGGCAAGAGGTCATTGATTTTGTTTCTAAGAGTAACAATTGTATCGTTAAAAAAGCACATAAAATCATTACTACTGAGTGCTATGGGAATAGAAGGCTCAATCGAGCTGTGGCTCTCTGTCAGCCTGGCTACAGTGCTGAAAAGAAATCTTGCATTATTCTTATGCTCATCTATTAATGAAGAGTAGTAGGCTGCTTTCGCTTTACGCAGTGCTTTCTTATATTCATTGAGAGTAATATGCCAAATTAAACGAGATTCTTCAAGTTTAGTGGAACGCCATATCCTTTCAAATTGTCTCGACTTTTGCTTTATTTTGCGGGTTTCGGCATTATGCCGATAAATAAAACAACAATCTATGTTGTTTTATTTTCTTCTTTTTCAAAGGAGCAACAGAGTCTAATTTTATTCGCAGCGCATCTGTAGCACTATCAACAACATGATCAATTTGGGGTGGTGTACATTTTGTATAAGTTTCCTCCCCTCCATGCAGACATGCTATCGAGTTAAGGATTGGTGGAATCTCTTCCTTAAATTTGGCTATAGCACTAACAGATAGGTTTCTGCTGCAGGAGCTTTTGACTAATGCTTTGTAGTCTCGTAACAGTACTTCAAAAGTTACTAAGAAATGGTCGGATAAAGCAGGATTATGCGGTTCGACTATTAGTTTCTCAATTTCAATACCATAAATCAGAACAAGGTAGAGAGTGTGATTATATTAGTGGGTTGGTTTATTTACACTCTGACAGAAACCAACATAATCTAATATAGAGTTAAATGCAACAGTAAGGCTATTTTTATCATCGTCAACATGAATATTAAAGTCACGTATGATAATTACTTTATCTGTTTTAAGCAGGGGCGGACTGGCCATCTGCAGAATCTGGAGAACCACAGAACAGCCAGTCGTCAAGGGCCGTTGACGGCCGGCCCTTTAAAAAAATAATAGTTTAAGCGCTGACGGCCGACAGAGGGCGACAGCGGCCACTAATGCAGTTGTGTGGTTCTTATCTGTCAAATAATAACACACGAAGAAGAAAAAAGACCGGCCACACGAAGAGAAGGGATTAGACGCCGCGGCAGACAGGGAGATGAAAAAACATGGATACAAATCAAAGAAAACGAAAAGAAAAAGGTGGGGCCGAGAAGGCAAGAGAAAAAAAGGTGAAGTCACTCGCATGTGAAGCATATAAATGTCGCAAATTAACAGACCTTTTTGGCAGCAGCGCTGCTACAAGCACTATCAGCAGCAGCTTAAAACAAGTGCAAGATGATGAAGAGAATGATGAGGGCGCGAGTTCAGATATACAGCCAGATCCTGCGTTCATGATGAGGGACAGAGTTGAGCTGGTGGAAGAACCAGCTCAACTGGCACATACAAGTGCAGGGCAAGAGTAAGAGGTGGCTGAGAATTATCCCTTGAACTCAGTGGCGTTTTCTCCTGGAGGCCAAGGGAAGCCAGGCTTCCCCTGTTTTTTTGGATTGTAGTTATAATATTAATAAATAAAAAAAACTTTGTTTAGTTTCAGTAATTATTCTGCCGGCCCATTTATAGTATTTTACAAAGAGTGAAACAGCGCCCCTCTAGATGTTATGGTGAAACAGTAGATTGCATTCTCTATTGCGAGAGGAGGCTTGCCGAAATTGGCTTCCCTTGGTGAAAAAAATGGAGGGATTGACCAATCAGATGAGGCTCACGTCATGCCTCACAATCCAATCAAATCGCATCAACTTCAGTTCGTACTGTAACTGTCATCACCGCCCTTAGAAAGTAGCAAGCAACTGAAGCAAGTGCAATTATGGAGGGTGGAGATTTGGAGTATTTCATCAAACATCATTTTACTAAACTTCCGCTACAGCAGCAACTAAAAATTAAATCTGATGACAGGCCAATGATCAAACTGGAGCTGTGTACAGAGAGGAAAAAAGGAGCGAATCGGACGTAAAACTTTAAATAATAAACAGCGGATTTCTAACATTTGACATTTCATGTGGCCGGACTGGGTCAGTTTCCAGGGCTGAATTTTAGTCCCAGTCCGCCCCTGGTTTTAAGAACCAAAGTTGATAAAAACTCAGAGAATTCTGATAAGAATTCTGAATAAGGACCTGGTGCACGGTACATTGTAACAAATAAGATTGGCTGCAAAGTTTTCCAGGTCGGATGCGTAAGACTAAAAACAAGACTTTCAAAGGAGGTATAATTTAATTTTGGTTTAGTATTGATGAGTACATTTGAGTCAAAGATGGCTGCAACTCCACAACTCGCAATTCCATCAGATCAAAATCTTCTAGATGTCTCATATTTCTGTCCGAGGCCTGTTAGTAATGTTTGGATCTAACAGTTCTTCCTTGTTACTTTAAAGTTGAAATGTAAACTGGCAGTGGATCATAGTGATCAAGTCCTGAGGTCACACTCTTTCCTCCACAGTTTTCCAAGTCCATGGTGCTGAACGTGTACAGTGAGTACATCAACAACTTAACCAACGCCATGGCTCTCATCAAGAAGGCCTGCATGTCTAAACCTGCTTTCCTGGACTTCCTGAAGGTGCTTACTTTTAATCATGTCTCTTGTGACTCATTGATTGGATGGGGAGGCTGGGGCTCAGGGGGTAGTGTTCATATTGAATGGTGAGTGGTTCGATCCCAAGCACTATAATGTTCTATAATGTTCATGTGTCCTTAGCAGTGGTGGAAGAAGTCCTCTGATTTGTTACTTAAGTTACTTACTAAAGGTCCTGCATTCAAACTCGTACTTTGTACATCAAAATATACTTAAAGTACCAAAAACAAAAGTACTCCTTGTGCGTAATGTCCCGTTTCAGAATTGTATATATATTGAGTTACTGGGTTACTGTTATGAACAGAGTTGGGTGTAACGCGTTACTGTAATAATATTACTTTTGTCGGTAACGGAGTAGTGTAACGCGCTACTTTTATAATTCAGTAATCACACTACAGTTACTAACATTGCCCCGACACACGTTACTTCGTTACTTACTAAAATCAGTCATAATCAAACCTCAACAAGCACCTGCAAAGAACACATGCTAAGGTGAAGCTAACGCACAGCTATTTGTTGTTTGTTGATATCACGCAGTCTGTTCTTCTGCTCTGTTTTCCGGTTGATGACGAATACACACTACCGCCGCCTGCTGGTAAGGAGAGTTATTGCCACTCACGCATGCGCAGTTCGTACGTGCTCGGCTGAAGTCTTTGCGGTGTCTGGTTCCAGTGCAACACATGGCCAACACTCAGGAGAACACGCCGACGCAACAGCGTGAGCAGAGATAGACTGCGCAAAATATACAGATAGCAGGAGACAGAGGACAGCCACGGTCAGATAGGAGAACATTCAGGAGCTATCTGGATCAGTCTTATGCGACAATGGAAACTGAACTAAAGAGAACATTTGAAACTTTAGCAGTCTGCGTGATCTGCCTGCAGGGAGGGGTGGGCCGGCCCTGCGAGTAAAGTAACGAGTTACTTTATGTAGAGAGTAACGAAGTAGTGTAATATATTAGTTTTTTTTAAAAGTAATATGTAATATATTACTTTTTTTTAGTAATGACCCCATCTCTGGTTATGAATATTGATATAGTGTTTTTATCACAGCTGGGTAATTAAGTGCTAATTTTAATAACTAACTATATAACTAACTATATAAATATATGTCAAAGTGTATTTAATAATTAATTTAGATTTTGTAGTAGCCTATAATCTAACCATAAAAGTAATTATTAACAAAAGTTGTCAAATAAATGTAGTGGGGTAAAAAGTACTATATTTGCTTCTGAAATGTAGTGGCGTAGAAGTATAAGCAGTGGCGAGCCGTGACTTTTATACCTAGGCCCTCTGAACCTCCCCCCTTCCCTCGAAAAAAAGAAGAGTTATTACGTCACAGCGTATGCTTCAGCGGGAATATCAAAACAGCGGCCCGGGGTGCAAAACGCATCAATGACAGCAACCCTCTACCACACAAAACAACACCATTTATATAAACACCTATCATGACAGGGCACCCACAGCCAAGTAACAATTAAACATGAATGAAGTCGGCACGGCGGCCCACATTGAAAATGACTCAGGCCTACCTGCATGCAGCTGATCCTTTGCCACTCCAAATTATCATTGTAACTCAATCTTGAAAATGACTCTGTTAATAATTTCGCAACAATCTCATCACTATCACTGACATGAGCCATCATTACATGACATTACATGTCACTTGTTAGACGCTTTTATCCAAAGTGACTAACATACTCAATACTGTGGGCAATCCCCACAGGAGCAATTTGGGGTGAAGTGTCTTGCCCAGGGACACAACGACATGCTGACTGCAGTGGGGTTTGAACCCTGACCCCCTGATCCCAACACCAAGGCTCTACCCACTGCGCCACACGCCTCCCACATGAACAAACTTATGCTAATTAGATACTTCCGCTAGCTTGACCCGTTGTTATAACACACATGCATAAACTTCACAGCGGGCGGAACTTGTCATAAAGGCCACGAAAATAAAGCCCACCCATTTAGAGGGAAGATATGATTGGTCAATTATTGTACTGTCATTTGACATTACTCTCTCGTTGAGTTACCCTAGCTGGCCCTTTGTGAATTTATAGCTGGACCACCGATCACCTCCTATCTTCAGAGTAACTCGCAGGGACGGCAAAAGGAGCTTCTTTCATTTAACCCTTCACATTCCAACAGAAACTGAACTGGCAGATTCAAAGGATTTATTTCTTTGGAAATGTTATTTTAAATACAATTAAATCAAGTTATTTTGGTAAAACTAATACAAAATATAACAAAATAAATATTTTTAAAAAAAAATATTTTTTATGTTTTCAAATATTATTATTTGTAATATCTTAGGCCTCAGAGAGGGGCTAGAGGGCCCTGACGGCTCGCCACTGAGTATAAGGTAGCATAAACTGAGAATACTCAGGTGAAGTACAAGTAACTCCAAATTGTACTTAAGTACAGTATTAAGTGCTTTGTTACTATCCATCACTGGTCCATGGAGATCTGTAATTGCTCCGGCTGTGTGTCAGTCTCCTGAGCAACTACACCTTGTATCTGTATGGATGTGTGTCAATGGCTGAAGGCTGACAGTTAACTTGGTTCTCTTCCGGATGGGACCGAACCATCTTTTAATGTTAAGACTTAACAGCAGCAGCACAGAGCGGTTCAAACCTTTCAACACCATACAGATTATACACACAGCTGATAAATACTGTTTAACTGCAGAATAACTATGCTAAAGAACCTTTTCTAGACAGAGACTGACACAGTGTCCTCTCCCTGTGACATTCAGAAGAAGCAGGCCTCCAGTCCAGACAGGATCACTCTGTACGGCCTGATGGTCCGACCCATCCAGCGCTTCCCTCAGTTCATCCTGCTGCTGCAGGTCAGCCACACACATCACACACATCACACACATCACACACATCATACACATCATACACACAGAGCCCGCAGTGTGGCCACACTGATGATATGCACGGTGAACAGTAGTTCTGACAGAAGAAGAGAGACCAAAACATGCTCTCTAGTCACTGTCATATGTATTCCTGTTCCAACACAGTTGATGGGTTTGTTGGGATGGTAGATTTTTTAGATATGTATGAAAATTAAGCATTTTCATGGATGTGTCATTGTCATTATGTCTTATAACCATCCACACCTAAATATACTGTACAGATAGTGGAGTTATGTTGCTCACCAGTAAATCACTAATGTTGGCAGGAAACAGGAAGTGTAAATCTCTCAAGTGGCAGCACGTGGTGTTTGGTATCTCTACAAGCTCAGAAACATTTGCACTGAGACTTTGTGTTGGGGTTTCGGACAAAAAGGAAGTGAAAGCCAGTCACTCCTGAGTTTGCTGAAGCGCATCGTAATCAATCCCCCCCAACACCTTCTCTTAACAAGTATTACTGCACGTGTTCGTGTTGTTCCCTTATTCTGACATCTTGAAACTGAAACTGTTAGGAAGATGAAGTTAAGATATTTATTGATGAACATCAAGCCCATAAACACCATGAATGCCAAACATCATCATAATTTGGCCCAAAAATATATTCAGATTGAATTCACTTAAGAACATTTTGTTGACGATTATTACATCACATGTGTGCGTTACTGTGTTCCCTGTGAGCTTCAGGGTGACTGTCGTGTGTTGTTGTGTGATCAGGACATGTTGAAGAACACCCCCCAGTGGCACGTGGACCGGCTACCACTGCAGCTGGCTCTCACCGAGCTGGAGACTCTGGCCGAGAAGCTGAACGAGCAGAAGCGCCTGTCTGAGCAGGAGGCGGAGCTCCAGCTGCTCGCTCACAGCGGGGGCGACCGCACCCTCAGCAAGGTGACATCATGAGGACACAATGAGCTGTTCAGCTGGTTTATGTTTTGTATGTGATGTTACATTCACTTTGATCTATTCAGTTGATGATGGTTTGGACCCATGGGCAGGATGGACCATAACAGAAAAATATGCAAGGTTCAAAAGATTTACTGCAAACAGCCCGGAACTCTCCCATATGTACAAATCAAATATCCAACAAACACCGACAGAAAAACAGAACTTAAATACATGCAAGACTAATCACGAGGACAAGACACAGCTGGGAAGGCAAAACACAAAGGTTATCAAACAGGAGGGAACACAGAGACATGAAGTAAAAACAGCCGTGAGACAGGGGGCGAACACTGTTCAAAATAAAACAGGAAACACAGACAAAGCGTGCAAATAGGTGAGAGAACGTGCAATCAAAACTGAATTCCATCCCATCCGGCCCGCAGTCACTAAAATACAGTACCTTAAGATGGACCCAAAGCCACGGAAAGTCAAGCTTTTGACATCCAAACCAAAGTCATCTCTATTCCTTTTGCAGCCTTTGTCTTGTCAACAAGTCATTTGTATTGCATGAGCTTCGGATTAGAACAATCCAAAAGAAACAACACAACAAATGAATTTCAGCAAAAAGCAGGCTGTAAATGTTAATATACTCATGTGTGTTTGTGGATGTGCTTTCTGCCTACAGCTGCTGCGGGCAGGGGGGAGGCAGCTGCTGCACTGTGAACTGCTCACTGAGAGGGTGTACGGAGACAAAGGGCAAGTCCTCAAGTCCAAAGAGAGGAAGCTGTTCCTGCTCAACGACATCCTGATCTGTGCCAACCTCAACCTGAAGTAAGGACATCTCCAGGACACTTTTTATTATCTTTTACATATTGCATTGTTTTTCTTTTGATAATTACAATATGAATGTGGAAATAAAACCTTGCAGTTGGCATTATATTTGTATGTGATACCACAGCCTTCTTTGGCAAATAAAGTTGCGATGTTCACTCTAACTGAAGAATGCATCTTCATGCTCCAGCATTAGAAGCGTCTGTTGACTAACACCACCAGAGTTTCAGCTGTGCGATGCTAACTAAATCCCAGGTGATGTCACAGGGGTGGGGGGCAGAAGTGGGAGAAGTATTCAGATCTTGTACTTCAGTAAAAGTAGAAGTACCAGATTGTAGGAATACTCTGTTACAGTAAAAGTCCTGCATTCAAAATGTTCCTCAAGTAATAGTATAAAAGTATTCTCATCAAAATATAGTGAAAGTAGCTAAGACAGTAAAAGTAGTCATTGTGCAGATTGGTCCATTTCAGAATAATATATATGATATGTTTTATAATGATTGATCATGAAAGTGTTCTCAAAGCTGGTAAAGGTGCAGCTAGTTTGAATGACTTTGTATACTGCAGGGTAGCTGGTGGATTTACTCCAGGTGGAACTACAGTCTGATTCAACACTTGGTTAGATTTCACATCATTCATCCACATCTGTAAAGTAACTAAAGGGATTAAATACATGTAGTGGAGTAGAAGTACACCATATTTTGTGGCGGGAGCAGCGCCACTTACAGGCCCGGCATATGTACTATAGTGTTTCCAGCGTGTCCAGCGGTCTCGTGTGAACGGACACGTTAATTGAGCCGAATGCGTGTGAACAAAGACTTTTTTGAAAACACATAGGTGCGTAAATGCAAACGTTCCCGTGTAAATGGGGTCTTAGCTCCTTAACACCATTGGTGGGGGGTGGGGACGGCCACTGTGATTCAGACGGAAGAGACCTCAGAGCGACAGACAGAGTGACTGCACTTTACTGAACGTTAAAATATGTCTGTCCACCAGGGGGCCCTCGGACATCAGCAGCCTGGTTCCTGTTGGTCCTAAATACACGGTGAAGTGGTGCTGTCCCCTGCAGCACACCCAGGTGGTGGAGGTGGGACAGGACAGTGTCCTCACAGCCAGACGCCCCAGCTCCGGCTCCAGCTACATGGGTACACATCAGATCTCTGGTGGCTAATTGGGTACCCTGAAAGAACTGAAACTTTGATTTTAATTAAATGTATTATTTCAAAAGATTTTACGTAACTGTATAGGTTAGTTGAAAGCAATAATATTGGGTTAAACCTAATATTGTTTTATTTAAACTGAATTGTATTTCTTTCAACTAGCCTAATACAGTTATGTGAAATCTGATGACATTATACATGTAATAAAAGTCAAGGTTTCAGTTTTTTCAGTGCAGTATGTGTTTAGATGAAGCTCAGTATGGCTCCCTGTGTTCCAGGGAAAGTGTTCCTGGGCCCCCCCCGACTGTACCATGAGCTGGAGCAACTGCAGCACGACCTGGCTGTGGTGGAGGAGGTGTCCCTGCTGGTGGCTACGCTCCATGGACCCTACCAGGTAACAAAGTGCTGAGTTCTCTGTTAACTCAATGTGTTCACCCTGCATCTCTGCCCCCTGACCACAGCAGGATTCACTGACTGAATCACCTGTGTCTTTAAGGGAAGCCTTTTCCATTATTCAGTCAACTGATAACCCTGAATAAGTGAGATATTTAATGTATATTCCTTATGCTATTATATGAATAACTGTACAGAATGACTGATAAACTGAATGGCTAACCCAAAAACAAGCCATTTGGATGATAAGCAGATTATTTTTCACAAACGATCAATCAGACTCTGGTCATCTCAGCATCCTCATCCTCACTGCAGCTTTTGACACCATCAACCACACCGTTCTCCTCTCCCGTCAAAACCTCCCTCAATTTCACTGGCACTGCACTCTCCTGGCTACAGTCATACCTCACAAACCAACAGCAATTCATCAATATCAACAACTGCACCTCCCCCCGCTCCCCTGCCCCAAGGCGTCCCCCAGGGTACGGTGCTTGGTGCTCTCCTCTTCATCCTCTACCTCCTCCCCCTTGGTGACATCATACAACGCCATGGCCTCCACTGCCATGCCGACGATGTGCAACTCTACTTTTTAACGAAATCCATCATCACCCTCTAACTCTCACCAACTGCCTCACTGAAATTAAATCCTGGATGCAAAACAACTTCCTCAAACTGAACTGTGATAATTCTGACATGGTCATCATCGGTCCAAAAACTGCTTTCTTCAACCTCAAAAATATATCCCTTCTCTGCCCATACTCTCCTTTTCTGCTGCAGAAACCCTCATCAATGCCTTCATCTCATCCAGACTAGACTACTGCAACAATCGATAAAGTACCTCTTATCTTATTAACAGCATCCTCTATGGCAGGGGTTTTCAAAGTGTGGGAAGGTGAGCCTCCCCCAGAGAACATAAGAACAGCCGCGCCGCCCCTCCCAATTATTATTGCTATTATTAGGGCCCGAGCACGAGAGTGCTAGGACCCAACGGCGTCCTAGCACGAAGTGCAAGGATACCTATTGTTATTCGTGGTATTATTATTATTATTCCATATTTCAATGCTTATTTTCAGGCCTTTAGGATGCTGACAAAGTTGTATAATTTTGCATGGACGCCAGGACCGGTGAAAAATTTGATATTCTGGAGTCAATGTGTTCAAATTGTCCAACATGCTCTCTAGCGCCACCTATGGCCATTTCCGTTTTTGGAAAGATGTACAAAGTCGCACCGTAACTCCAAATGACCTGACATTTTTCACACTTACTCGGGTGGACCTGCTCTACATATAATGTCCAAGTACCCTTAAGCTCCGCCTACTTTTTTTTTTTTTAAATTAGCATAATTTTAAAAACAGTTAAATATTCACTTAAATTTCAAATTTTGGTTTTTCAACACCAAACTCAGTATACAGTATCGCCGGACGGTCAGACACATTATCGTAGGAAATGAGCATGTTCAGTCGATAAATGTGGCCCTCATTACTAGGGTTGGGAACCGAAACTCGGTTCCAGATGAGAACCGATAAGAAAATGCCGGGTACCGGGTACCCATACAAAATACACAATTTCGGTTCTGCTTAACGGTTCCTAAACGCGGTAGACCCTGTATTCCAGCGGGTCCGTCTGCACCGCGGTGCTGCGGTGACCCGGTGGAATACAGGGCGGACCTGGAGAATCACAGAACGGCCGGTCGTCAGCGGGCCGTTGACGGCCGGCTCGGTACGCTGACGGCCGGCACCGCCCTTCATTTTTTTAAACAGCATCATATAAATTGCGCTGACAGGCGACAGAGGTCCACAGTTGCCCCGCAGCGATGCTCCCCCGCCCTCCCGTAGACATTTCACGAGCTCAGTCACTTCATAACACCAAAGATAGGTCGCGGTAAACTCTCTGAAGTGAGGCTCCACTACACTAAAAAAGAAAAAGAAAAGGCAAAGTGTAATGCCTGTTAATAGCTTGCCACAGGCATAGCTCAGTTAAAATAAAGCACAGCTATTGTGCAATACATTTGTATTGCATGTATATTTTTTAGTAACAATTTCAGTTAAAGCTTTTAAGAATAAATATATTTTTGTTATCTAAACGTTTGACCTCTTTATTTTACAATTTTGGAATCGAAACGGGGAATCGATAAGAACCGGAATCGATAAGCAGAACCGGAATCGAAATCGGAATCGATAAATTTCAAACGATACCCATCCCTACTCATTACTCTAAACGTGTTCGCAAAAAGGCGGGGCTTAGATAGAAATGAACATAACTCATCAACAATGTACAAAAAAAACACACATTTTGGTGGTAAGGTTCATTCTGTATTGGGGAATAGGCACAAAAAGTAATTTTCATTTTGGACTATAGGGGGCGCCAAAAACATGACAAATGTATAACTCATGAACTGATGGACGAAATCTTTTTATTTTATTTTAGACATACTCTGGTGATAAGTATGCACTTATATTGAAAGTGTCACAACGAATGACAAATGTGGGCGTGGCCTGTACTTTTTTTTTTATGACGATGTGCTAAAATGTGTTTCGGTACGCAAAACTTGGTACACACGTCACAGCCCACGACCTTTTCAAGAATGTAAAAAAAAACGTAATTTTTCAAAAAAACTGCTCACTAGCGCCCCCTATTGTGTGGTAGTCTCATAGTTTCTCAGAACTTCACGAATTTTGGCACAGACATTCCTCATGGAATTGAAGACATATTTGTACATACATTCCATTAGCCCCGCCCCCCAAAAAGTCGACCATTTTGAAATATGTGCGTTTTTTATGCATTTTAAGCACATTCTTGCGCACTCCTCCTAGGGGAATGATCGGAAAAATTCCAATGCAGGACACTTTTAGCCCCTATCCAATATGATACTTAATTGAGGAGCACATTTTTGAAAAATTACTCGTGGAGGTCGTAAGCTAACAGCGAATATACCATTTTTGACGATTTACATGTCGCAAATTACTCCAAACTACTCGGATATAGTTATTCCGATATTCACGAAACGCTGTATACATATTGCTATTATGATTGCACACATATTTCACATTGCCTTCCATTAGCCCCGCCCCCCAAAAAGTCGGCCATTTTGAAATATGTGCGTTTTTCAGCCATTTTAAGCACGTTCTTGCACACTCCTCCTAGGGGAATGATCGGAAAAATTCCAATGCAGGACAGGTTTAGCCCCTATCCAATATGATACTTAATTGAGGAGCACATTTTTGAAAAATTACTCGTGGAGGTCGTAAGCTAACAGCGAATACACCATTTTTGACGATTTACATGTCGCTAATTACTCCAAACTGCTCGGATATAGTTATTCACGAAACGCTGTATACATATTGCTATTATGATTGCACACATATTTCAAATTGCCTTCCATTAGCCCCGCCCACCAGAAAGTCGGCCATTTTGAAAAATGGCCGTTTTTCATGCATTTTAAGGACATTTCTCCAAACTCCTCATAGGGGAATGATCGGAACAATTCCAATCCAGGACAACTTCAGCGCATATCCAATGTCATGCTACTTTGAGAAGGAATAGTCCTTCGCTCAAACGGGGAGCTCGTAGGCTAACGGAGAATGTACCATTTTTGACCAATTATATGTCAGATAAGCTACTGAGGCCTGCCTGTTTGCCTGGCACATCAACACACACACACACACACACACACACACACACACACACACACACACACACACACACACACACACACACACACACACACACACACACACACACACACACACACACACACACACACACACACACACACACACACACACACACACACACACACACACACACACACACACACCTACTGTTAGTCCAACAACACCCTTTGCTGGCGGCATATTCATTACAACAGACACCTATACACTCGCTAACCCTAACCCTAATGTTTATTTGTAGATATCTCCTAAAGCCTACAAATAAAGTGTGACATGTAGGCCTGTTACATTTGTTATTGAGCCATATATATTATACACACTGTTCTGCTTTCTGCACTGACCTCAGCAGCTGTTCTCACTGTAACATCACCTAACATCCAGGGGACATGTGATTAGTGAGTAAACAAACGGTAAAGGGCAGAAAGTCTGATGCACATTTGATCATCTCAAATAACTTATAATCACAACGGGAACAGTTTGCAGAGCTGTGCTTCGTTGACAGAAGTCCAGCCATGCATCACGCCTCTTTTAAACATCACTGTTGGCTGAAATCGTCTCAGGAGAATACTTCAGTGTACCCTCGGTTATAGCTCCTCCAGAGACACTCCTCTCTCCTCTAAATCAGTGTATCCTCGGTTACGGCTCCTCCAGACAGCCTCCTCGATAATCGATCCTCGACGAGCCTTTAGAGAAATTTGTTTTCCTTCGAGACGGCGCGCCGAAATCCGTTTCCGGGTCGCTGCCGGAGGACCTGGGAGTCTGGGACGCGAAAATTATAGAAATGAGAAACGGCTCATTTCCCAGGACTCGCGCGCGTCTGCTTGACGCCGGGACGACCTGCCGCCCTCCCCGACAGGCGCACGGACGCGAGGGCCCGCTCATCACTGCGCGCACAAGTGCGACCGCAGTTTTAATTATTATTGTTGCTATAATGCAGGGGTATTATTATCCAGTGGAAAGTCCTTACCTACTGGCCTAGTTAAATCAAAGTGGTTACTTTCTTTTGGCTGGGCAGTGTAGTTTTACACACCGTCTTATTTGACTTTCTCAGAACCTTAAAAACAGTTTTTTGGGGGCAGACCCCCACAAAGAAAAAAATATATTTACACAGGTAAGGTCATCATCTTAACAGTTTTTTATGCTCATCGAGTCATCCGTGAGCAGGGGCCTCATTTATAACGCCGTGCATAGGATTCACGTGGGAAGGTTGCTTACGTAGTAGAAATCCAAAAAATAGGTACAGAAATTTTCCGACATTTTCCGATTCACCAAACATTGCGTTTCCCTTTATAAATCACAACCGACTCGAAATGCGGTGCAGCTTTTGCGG